TTGATTTCGAGCCTCGAACAGCAGCTTCGCTTTTGTGAATTCTCCTCTTTCTTCAATTGATTAGTCGTTGCTATGGTTGCTCTATGTTTGGTACTTATTGTGTAGCCAATTTGGAGAACTTTTGCAACCCTTTTATTGTTATAGTGAAGCTTTTTGGATCTTTGTGATCCTGTGGTTTTTACCTTCGATTTGAAGGGGTTTCCACGTTAAAATTTGGTGTTCTTTACTTTCTTTATTTTCGGGTTTGCCTCTTCCTCGACATAACAGGAAGATCCAAACTTGTTTTCCTATACTGCACATTGGCTAAGGATATGTGGCATTTATGTTTTAGGTTCTTGCTGGTATACCGTGGGTAATGCCCTACACTCTGAAAGATGCATATGTTAGCTGGTGCGGCAGGTTCAGAACCATTCATAAAGATATAGCATACTATATTGGGCAACATTATGTGGACCTAGGGGAGAGAAAGGAATCAGAGATGTTTTGAGGGGGTTTTCCTTTCCCCCCATTCCCTCTTTGAGATGTTTGATGAACGTATCTTTTTGTTTTTTCCTCAGACATGAACATGATGTGGATGAATTTTTGGATTTCAAAGCTCCTTAAGTTTTCTATAGGAGCTTATGGTTTATGTGATCTATGGCATCTTCTGGATGCTCTATCTTGTTAATAAAGTTCCGACCACTTCGTCTAAAATGAAATTTCCCGAGGTTGTGTTGCTACTACGCACGGGGCCAATAGAAAATGATAACTTTCTAACGAATATTACATTACAAAAAGGACATTAGCTGTTGGGGTAAAGTAAGACCGCCACAGTTATCTTTATGGGGTTGTGTTCTGGAGGAGGTGGGCAATTGGGATGAGGGGTTGCTGCGATGTACTGGACGAGATGGTAGGTGTCACATGGGTGATTTATGTCACTCGAATTCTGCCCGAGGTTCACTTCCGTGCGGCAGTCAAGCCCAGCCTTGACTTCAGCCTTTCCAACACTTAGTTTTATTTTTAGGGACATTTATACTTAGAATGAAAATAGGCAGCAAAAACAGTAAATAAAGGCACGTACGATATACAGGAATTTCTTCCCAACTTGTATTAATATGTGAATACAAGAACACAATAGCCAACCCTATGGCCAAGACAAAGAATTCCCTAATTCCCTGCCCCAAAATGATTTTTCCCACCCTTAGGAAATGACTTAGACGAATTTTGGCTTCACAATGCCTTAGCCTAAGTTTCTGCCCGTTTTTAGACACTCTAGGCACATATTTATAAGGCTACAATCAGTTGACAAGCCCCAACTGATGGACAAACAAGTTAAGACAAAGTACAAAAACGTGGGCACACTTTTAGGCCATGATCAACATGTCTTGGAAGAGGTTGCAACTACCAACTGCTTCCCATGTGCTTTGCACATATTTTCCAACTGCTGCTTGTGCACAGCATGTGCCTGATTTGCCCCCAGCTGCTTTATGCCAAGGCTGACATTGAGCCCAACCTTGCCTTTGACACTGCTCCGCGCCAATGTCATTGCCACAGCTCGCCATCCATTGACATAGCCGCACACGTTCATTGTCACAGCTGCCCGCTCATGTCAAGTCGCCCCCAACTTGATCAAATCTGCCCGCATCAATTGCCATTGCTTGTCCAGCATTGCCTTGCCTTGCCATGTCTTTGCCCCTGCTTGACATGGCTTTGCCTTGCCATTGCTATGCCAATCCGCACGTCCAAGTTTAATGCACCTTGCTTCAGTTCAAGGTGCGTTTGTCAACCCCGCATAGTCCGTCATGCCGAGCAGCCCATCATGATGTTGTCCCAATTTTCAGGTTGTGTGCCAAGGCCATCATGAAAATCCTTGTCACAACCCACACCTGCCGAGGACCTTTGTCAAGAGGCTAACAAACCACCCCCACCAGAAGAATTCGTCGTCCTCGACGAATTAGCTTCCGCATTTTTCAGCACCACCATAGGTCCTAAATATGTTGTTGCTTGCTCATGTTCTTCCTCGTTTGGCTCATCTTCACTCTTTTCTTCAGCAAACAACGCTGAAAGCCGTTCAATTCTTGGACAGTCCCTCGCCATGTGTGGTCCTTTGCAAATAAAACAGCCATCAAACTTGTTGTTTTGTCCCTTGTTTGTCGAAGGTCCAACACATTGCTTTCCCTTTTCATTGCCATTGCCCTCAACAGCATTACCCTTGTCGTTTCCGTTTTTCCTCCACTCTTTTGCCTTGTCCTTGTTCCCGTTTTTGGACTTTGAAGTAGTAGAGAAATCAGAACCATCTTGTCCCAACCGGAAATCACCCAACGCATCCGCAACAGCAATGGCACTAGGAAGGTCTTTCACATTTTGCCTTCGGAGTTCCATTTGCGCCCACGACTGCAACCCGTAAAGGAAATTATGCAGCTTGTCTTCCTCAGACATGTTGCTAATATCCAGCATCAAAGAACTAAAATCTTTGACGTAATCCCTGACCGTTCCAGTTTGTTTCAACTTCTTCAAATGATCTCTAGCAATCCAGCCCGCATTGCTAGGAAAGAATTGATCTTTCAACTCTTTCTTCAGCCCTTCCCAAGAGTCAACTTCGGCCTACCAGCATTTACATCATCTGCCACGCGCGCACGCCACCAAAGCTTTGCATCGTCCACTAAGTACATAGTCGTAATGGCGACCTTGTCTTCATCTTGCACTTTGGCAGCATGGAAGTACTATTCCATATCCCACTGGAAATTTTCGAGTTTCTTGGTACTCCTTGCGCCATTAAACTCTTTAGGCTCCAGAATTCTGACTTTGGTACGATCTGCCCCACGCTGTGCTTCATCATTGCCAACAGCACGACGCAGCAACACATTCTCCGTTTTCAGATCTTTGCACTCTTGGCTTAGCCTGTTCAACTCAGCCTCAAGATAGGCGAGACGAGTCACGATAGTCAGAAATTGATCCCCATCAACAGTTCCGACGAGTGCCTCTAATGCAGCAACCTTTTCCCTCAGTTCTGCGTTGCCACCAGCCATTCTTCACAAAATTCAACCACTGAACGTTGTGTCTCCGCCCCAATCCAACCTGGCTCTGATACCAGTTGTCACAGGGGTGATTTATGTCACTCGAATTCTGCCCGAGGTTCACCTCCGTGCGACAGTCAAACCCAGCCTTGACTTCAGCCTTTCCAACATTTAGTTTTATTTTTACGGACGTTTACACTGAATGAAAATAGGCAGCAAAAACAGTAAATAAAGGCACGCACGATATACAGGAATTTCTTCCCAACTTGTGTTAATATGTGAATACAATAACACAATAGCCAACCCTATGGCCAAGACAAAGAATTCCCTAATTCCCTGCCCCAAAATGATTTTCCCACCCTTAGGAAATGACTTAGACGAATTTTGGCTTCACAATGCCTTAGCCTAAGTTTCTGCCCGTTTTTAGACACTCGAGGCACATATTTATAAGGCTACAATCAGTTGACAAGCCCCAACTGATAGGCAAACAAGTTAAGACAAAGTACAAAAACGTGGGCACACTTTTAGGCCATGATCAGCATGTCTTGGAAGAGGTTGCAACTACCAACTGCTTCCCATGTGCTTTGCACATGTTTTCCAACTGCTGCTTGTGCACAACATGTGCCTGATTTGCGCCCAGCTGCTTTGTGCCAAGGATGACATTGCGCCCAACCTTGCCTTTGACACTGCTCCGCGCCAATGTCATTGCCACAGCTCGCCATCCATTGACATAGCCGCACACGTTCATTGTCACAGCTGCCCGCTCATGTCAAGTCGCCCCCAACTTGATCAAATCTGCCCGCATCAATTGCCATTGCTTGTCCAGCATTGCCTTGCCTTGCCATGTCTTTGCCCCTGCTTGACATGGCTTTGCCTTGCCATTGCTATGCCAATCCGCACGTCCAAGTTTAATGCACCTTGCTTCAGTTCAAGGTGCGTTTGTCAACCCCGCATAGTCCGTCATGCCGAGCAGCCCATCATGATGTTGTCCCAATTTTCAGGTTGTGTGCCAAGGCCATCATGAAAATCCTTGTCACAACCCACACCTGCCGAGGACCTTTGTCAAGGGGCTAACAGTAGGCTAGTAGCTCGAGTGTAAATTCTAATGGGGAAAAGCCAGTTCTAGGGGTTTTGCAGTGTAATATCAATTTATATGGTTTTGCAATTGCTCTTTCATTATATGTTCCCCTTTTCCTTTTGCGTTTCTACTCTACAGTGGGGAAAAAAGGAAAAAATCATGGCTGTTCAGGAACTAACCTTAATTCAGAAGCTGTAACTTTTTTCCCCTTCTTATAGTATAAACTGCTGTTCTGCAGTTATGTTCTTTTATTTACGTCAGTCATCATAACTTAATTACTACTATGACGAAGAGATGGGGATGACAAATTTGAAACAACTTCGTTGTTTTAGTTTTCTGCAATTTTTATGAATAAAGGATAAGGAGTACTTTCCAGCGAAGGAGTTAACTAGTGTTTTGGAGCGAGAATAATCTTTCTTTGGGTAATTGTGTAATTCTTGCAAGGTGGAGTTTACATGATGAGGTGATCCATCTATTTTTGTTACTTCTTTGGCTATCTGATTGCTAATTTAGAAGCACCATAGTTTTGTTGGTTGATGTTACAATCAAAAGGATTCTGAATATAACCGTCTCTCTATTGTGCTAAGTCCAACCAAACCCAAACTACCAAGAATTAGTATTGACACAGAAAAAGAGAAGCTTTCAGTTTATCTATTGGGAGTTTGCATCATTAATTATAGAAACATTGTTCAGCCAGCAAAAGTAACCTGGATTGGAAGAAACTAGAAATTCAAACATAAAGGATACAGAAATAAGGCCCCAAATGAATCATGAAGGAGCAAGAGCTTGGCAGTTGAGCCTTTGAATCCCTTTTAGGTAGTTGGGATTTTAAAAAGAATTTTTTGCCATTTGTTTCCATAAATGACTAAGCTTAAAAGAAAAGTTTTCATTCTATCTTTGCTTGAGGAGTCTGTGGCCATCAAGAGTGATTAAAGTACACTCGAATCTCCTCCATTTCGTCAATAATAGTGATGATAACTAGTGATCATATTTTAAAGCTTTAAGTACCTTATAATACTTACACTTAGGTTGCCAGTTTGATGATTTGTTATTACCAGCGTACAATTGGTGAAGCCTCAACGAATTGACCAACCAGTAACCATTTAATGACTTCTTCTGGACGTCAATCAAATTGCTGGAAAAAACATCTTCCATATAACTGCTTTTCAGAGGTGTGATTATGGTCAAACTTGTCTCGATTGGTACTATGTTTGATTGCTGAATTTGTATGTGGAATAAACTTTGGTGATGTAGATTGTAGCATCACACTGAGGTAGCTGTTCAAGAGTAGTGGTTTGGTGCATGGACCATAGTTAGAGATGAATCAAGAAAAGAATCAACTACGCTATTGGAGGAGTCAATATGTGTTGGATTACTACGATATCTAGTATTAGATGAGATGGATGGAAGTAATACTATCTTTATGATGCAGTCTCACTCAAACACTTCATTAGGATATGCTCATTGTTAATGAAGTGTTAACAGAGAATGATAACTATCAGGTTAGCTATTAAGCTCTTGGTAAAATATATACATGTAATGATGTAATGTTGGAAATTTGTAATTGCCAATCACTGTTCCCGTGTGTAGTGCTAGAGTTCCCTCAAGGTGCTTGGTCAACTATCTGTTAGCCTACTTGCTTAGAGACTTGATCAATATTGGAATGGATAAAGCCAAATGGATATAGAGGATTATATAGTTGAAAAAAAGAAGAAGAAGATATAGAGGATTATATAGACGACCACAAATGACATAAGAGTAATGGTTAGTTATTGATAACCTACTTGCTTGTCAGAGAAATGATTTAAGGTTTGCAATTATTCCAGAAAACTCAGAGAGAGCATTTTGCTATGCTTATTGAGGGATCAAACCCGGGCAGGTCCGGCGCCGCTTTCTCTGTAGTGTTGTCACAAGCTGTCCGCCTAGAAGAGCAACTCACTCTGTAGCATTCTCACAATAGATAAGCACGCGCCCCCCTGCTGGTCGGGCAAATTGAAGTTATCTTCTCATCTTCCTTCAACCTTTGTAGAGCCTGGAGTAGTTGGGCTTGTTCAAAGTAAAATTTAGGAAGCAGATACAGTAAGACTTCTCTATAACAACACTTCTGTATAACAATTATTCACTATAAAAGTCAAGTCTTTTTCGGAACCGATTTTAATGTTATGTTATAAATATATGTCCCGTATAACAACACTTCGCTATAGCAACCAAAAAGTATCAAAACAAATGAGGCTGTTATAGAAAGGTTTGACGGTAAACGGTAAAAAATATGATCCGCAAACCAAAGAAATCATCAGATATTGTAGTTTTTACTCTTTTTAGGGTATTCAAAACAACGTATAATAGCAAGGGGTTTACAACATGTTTTGCACACCAAATAATACTCTTTGCTGTGCTTTATTGCCTTGTTACTCTCTACAGTTTTGCTTACCATCAAAATATTCTGCAAACAAACTCAACTGAACTTGATCATAACTTAGCATATTTCTTGAGATTGACAGCAGCATCTTTGGCATTTTCAGGTACAGGCATGTTGGTCTTAAGGGTGACTCTTGATGATGCTATCAAAGTTTTGTTTTCCTCATTGTTTGGATCAATCTTACAAAGACAAACTTCCCAAACATGAATAGTTTTGCCAATGTTGACTGGTGTAGCCTCAGCAAAAACAAGGTCACCGATTTGAGCACTCTTGAGATGGTGTATGCTGAGATGAATTCCAGCCACTCGGGAAAAACCAGAAGCCATATGAGCTCCCATACTTGCCAAAGCCTCAGATATCATAGCTGAAACTCCACCGTGCAACACCTTGAAGGGCTGGCAACACTTTTCTGTCACAGGAAGACGGCCGGTGAGTTTATGGGGTGTGATTTCTACAAACTCAAAGCCAATCTCATAAAGTGGAATATCTAAAGCTCGAGCCTTTACCCCTGGTGGTGGTGGTTCCATATTTGCTGTTATCTTGAAATGAGCTCTTGGTCTTGGAGGTTGACCTCCGGCTGAAAGGTTTGACTCACGTTCCTAGCTTTAGTAGAAGCACCTGTTCAAATTGGAATGAACCTTTTTGTCACACTATGGTTCTTTCAAAGTTACGGGGTAAGAGATATCCATATCTCAACAAGGTCAATTTTTGATAAATAAAAAAGGGAGTTTCTTTTTTGGATTCAGATATTCTGAAATGGTAAATCTGATGATCTGTTTATGGAAATCAAGAATCTTGATGTAAGTGGCAGAGAAGAATAGATTGAAGATGAAGATGGCGATTGGAGTTTGGACTTTTGGAATAGCTGTGAGGAAGATGAAAGGATAAAGGGTAAAGTGCGTGGTAGGTGGAAAACATTACCTTGATTGGTATATTAATATAAGGGTAAACTTAATGGTCGGCACTTAATTGGCTGGTGGTTTGTTCCTTCCAATCTTCACACTAGGAAAAATACATTTACAAATTTGGACCCCAGAAATCTTATCGAATTTGGAATTGGATGCGGTATATTAGTATGTCAGTAAAATATAGTAAAAGCAAGAGAGTGAAACAAATTATTTACGGTATCCATTAATTATTGATGGAGCATCAAACTCCAAATTCGATTTAGCCCATCTCTTGTCTTTCTTCACAATTAGATTATGTACAGTTTTGCTTACAATCAAATATGCTGCAATCGAACTCGATTAAACGTGATCATAACTTAGCATATTTCTTGAGATTGACAGCAGCATCTTTGGCATTTTCAGGTACAGACATGTTGGCCTTAAGGGTGACTCTTGATGATGCTATCAAAGTCTTGTTTTCTTCATTGTTTGGATCAATCTTCCAAATACAAACTTCCCAAACATGAATAGTTTTGCCAATATTGACAGGTGCAGCCTCAGCAAAAACAACGTCACCAATATGAGCACTCTTGAGATGGTGAATACTGAGATGAACTCCAGCCACTCGTCCAAAACCGGATGCCATATGAGCTCCCATACTTGCCAAAGACTCAGCTACTAGTGCTGAAACTCCACCGTGCAACACCTTAAATGGCTGGCAACACTTTTCTGTCACAGGTAAACGGCCAGTGATTTTGTGGGGTGTGATTTCTACAAACTGAAACCCAACCCCATGAAGTGGAACATCTAAAATACGAGCCTTTACCCCTGATGGTGGTGGGGGTTCCATATTCTCAATTATCTTTTTCTCTCTTCAATTTTTGAAATGAATTCTTGGTTTTGGAGGTTGACCTCGGCCGGAAAGGTTGGACGCACGTTCCTGGCTTTGGCAAAAACACTTTTGGGAGGACCTGTCCAAATTGGATTGAACTTTTTGTGAAACTATGGTTCCTTAAAAGTTATGGTAGTAAGACATCCATATATATATCTCAACGAGATCAATATTTGATAAGTCGAGAAGGGAGTTCCTTTCTTGGATTCATATGTTCTGAAATGGTAAAGCTGATCTTTTTGTGGAAATCAAGAATTGTAATGAAAGTGGGAGAGAAAAGATGAAGATGATGACTGGAGTTTGGTTTGGTGTGTGGATAGAAAAAGAATAAAGGTGAAAGGTCGTGGTAGGTGGAAAACGTTTTAAGTACGTTGCTTGGTATTATAATGTAGAGGTATTATTAATGGTGGGCACTTATTTAGCCGGTGATTTGTTCCTTTCAAATTTCACATTAGGGATATAGGAGTAATATTTAGTAGTATAAGTTTTGGACCCCAGAAATCTTACCGTCTTTCCGATTGGATGGTGTAGTAATTAGTGATATACGTTTTTACCCCTTTTTAGTAATAAAATAAAGTAAAAGCAGAAGAGGGAAACAAAATAATTACGGTATTAATAACTCATCATTTAGAAGAGAAAGAAATTACCTTTCTGACATGGGATAATAATTAAATTATTGACATGTATATACAGTAGAGCTGCTTATCAGGCGGATCGGGCAGTTATTTATTCTTAACGGTTCCGCTTATTAGTTATCGGTTTGGCTTATTAGTTATCGGCTTTTAAATGTATTAATCCGTTAACCACCCAATAAGATATCGAGCGGATTGGTATCGATTTAGCTATTATCGAGCGGTTATCGGATAATTTATCAGCCTATTTGAATCTGCATTACAAAAGCCTATTTTGGTCCTTCGTGTTACTAGTAAATACCAGCAAAAAGCCAGTTTACTTGCACATTTCCTCATTTTTTAGTTGTCTTAAGGCACCTGGTTCTAGTGATTGGATTTTCTACATTACTTTATTTTGGCTTTTGCATTTTGTAGGTTGCCTTCAAAACCAAAGTATTCCACTCAAACATCAATAGTAATGGTAGTATTTGTCTGGACATCCTAAAAGAACAATGGAATAGTGATTAGAAATTAGGAATTTTGATTTTAGGGTTTCTAAATTCTAATAGTGGAATAGTGGATAAGTGGAAGGGATATTTTATATACATATGGATAAAAATATATAAATATAAAAATTCTTAACGGGTTAACGGTTTATCCGATAAGTAAATTGAATAATCCGCTCCCAAACTGATATATCGTTAATAATAAAATTTCAATCCGTTCACCACCCGTTAATCCGATAACCCGATACCAATAGACCATTAAGCTACTTTTGCGGTTTGGTTTTCGATTTTAGTTTGGTGTTGAACACCCCTAATATATAGGGGAGTAATAGGTCACTAGCAGAGATTAGGTGGACAATTTTTGAACCCCGAAAAANGCAGAGATTAGGTGGACAATTTTTGACCCCCGAAAAGAAAAACAAAGAAAAAGAAAATTAAAAATTTGGGACAAGTTGAGGGGGTGTTTAGGTATTATCCGTTCTTTCATCCGACTTTCCTGGCGCTGGCAGGTATGAGAACATCAATGATATTCTAATTCATTGTTTACTCTATTTCATTATTAAAAAAGAAGGGCAATTAGAAGCCGATAATAATACAATTTGTGTGTATAAAAGTGTGTTTGAATTTTGAAGTCTAATTATTGTAATTCTCATCATTTATACCGTAAAAATGACACTAGTGAGCCACTCTAAAGGGCCTATTATTTAGGAATTAGTCACTTTGTCCTGAATTTTAGATTTCAATTCAAATTTTTAGGATAAAAATATTCTGAATTGTCTTAAGTTAAAAAATTTTATTCAAAAATTCAGAACAAAATAAGTACCGATCAGTCTCTATGTACAGTTTTGCTTACAATCAAATATGCTGTAATCGAACTCAATTAAACCTGACCATAACTTAGCATATTTCTTGAGATTGACACTTATTTAGCTGGTGATTTGTTCCTTTCAAATTTCACATTAGGGATATAGGAGTAATATTTAGTAGTATAAGTTTTGGACCACAGAAATCTTACCGTCTTTCGGATTGGATGGTGTAGTAATTAGTGATATACGTTTTCTCCCCCTTTTTAGTAATAATATAAAGTAAAAGCAGAAGAGTGAAACAAAATAATGACTGTATTAATAACTCCTCATTTAGAAGAGAAAGAAATTACCTTTCTTTCATGGGGTAATAATTAAATTATTGAAATGTATATAGCTGTTTATCAGGCGGATCGGACAGTTATTTACTCTTAGCGGTTCAGCTTATTAGTTATCGGCTTTTAAATGTATTAATCCATTAGCCACACGATAAGATATCGGGCGAATTGGTATCGATTTAACTATTATCGGACGGTTATCAGACGGTTTATCAGGCGATTTGAATTTGCATTACAGAAGCCTATTTTGCTCCTTCGTGTTACTAGTAAATACTAAAGGTGTCTAACGGGTGGTCCGGGCCGGGCTGAATAGGGAAATGTTGGAATTGTACGGGTTATGAACTGGGCCGGTTACGGGTTAGGAGTTACTGGGCTTAATGGGTTCGGGTTCATCCGGGTAAAAATAAACCGTAAGGGTTACGGGTACAAGGGCCGGGCCGGGCTGGGTTAGTGTAATTGTTTGTTTTTTTTGTATTTTGTATAACTATTGTAAGTTATATTAATATAAAGTAAAAATATAAAAAATACAAGGAAGATGGAAAAAAATTACACTTATAAATTGTAATTGCTGCATTTATTTCAAAACTAGCGTGAGCACCTTAGTTCCTATCACTATGTGTTGGTAAGTACAAATCTACTACTCTTTGCATTTTCTAATGAGAAGCTTTCCTAAACACCGCAACATAATCAGTTCATAAAATGTTAACTTTCTGCTGGCTTCCCAATATTTTTCTACACTTGAGCGATAAAAAAGGATAATATATTCTCAAATACTGCATCATAATCAACATTACCAGTTTATCAACTGTTAACTTCAACCTTTCCATGAGGCAAAGACAAAATGCTGTCATTTTTTAAAATAATAGCAAATGGCATCTTGTCAAAGATGTTTTAACAGTTAAACAAAACACAAGTAATTAGATTATGATAAATCCTAGTGAATAAAAGTAACCGGCAAAACTGTAATCGCAATCATTATGAAAATAGGTAATTCTCCTTACTTAGCAAAATCTCTTGATTGATACCTATTCACGAACTCAACTGCATACTTTACGAAACCCATTAGACTAAGTGCCCGTTTGGACATAAAATTTGATGGAAGATTTTTTCAAAAAAATTTCACTTTTTTCGAAATCAACGTTTGTTCATACAATTTTCAATTTTCACTTGAATATGCATTTTAGAAATCTTCGAAAATTTTAAAAACTGCAAAAAATTATTTTTCAGAATTTTCACTCAAATCACTCACAAAACTTCAAAAACAACCCAATTAAAATTTATGTCTAAACATAACTCTAAATTTCAAATACCATTTTCACTTGAAAAAAATTTTCACCATTTTTTTGAATTTTTCAATTCTTATTTCCAAACGCCTGCTAAGAAAAGGGCTTCCACACAGTAGATACCAACTTAATTTGCATTAATATTATCTAATTCTAGTTAACTAAAGTGATGAAAGCCAAAATGTCAATGAAAATAATAGTATGTCAGAATTCCAAATAAAAGCCAAATAAAAGGACTATTGACCATAGGAATAAAAGGGGCATTTGCATCTATACCCGCTTTTTAGGTCACGTTTTAATTTGTGCCCACTTTGCAAAAAATATTTCAAGGGTACCTACTTTTTCGCGTAACTTCAACATACGGGGCTGAAGTAACAAAAGCAATCACGCAAAAATTCAGCATTCTAGTAGACGAGACCGAAGTAGCAAGTGTGTTGAACCAAGTGTCCTGAAGTTTTTGTTTTGTAACCGGCGAACTTCAGTTCTAGAGCTGAAATTTTTGTTTTGTAACGGTGGAACTTCAGCTCTAGAGCTGAAATTTTTGTTTGTAACTGGCGAAGTTCAACTCTAGAGCTGAGGTTTTTGTTTGTTTACCTGACTCAGTATTATGAGTTGCAAGAACAAATGCTCCAGAGCCATTAGAAATCTCGTCAAGCATAAACTCAACACAAGAATTAAAGCAGTCATGTGTTTGCTCAATGTTATCATGAATTGGAGATTGAACGCCTAAACGAGAAGCCAATTCTCTTTCACTTGGCATATAAGCACCTCTCACAAGCTTAAAACCCATTGGAACTCCCATTTTCTCTGCACCTCTCACAAGAAGAAGAAAATGAAGGAGGAGAAGGAGGAGGAGAAAGGAACTGAAGTTGTTTAAATTTTAGGTACATGTTAAAAAAATTTTAAAAAATGGGTATAGATTAAATAGAAGCGACCAAATAGGACGCCCCGTGCAATTTTTACGAATAAAAGCAAACTCAAAGCAAATGTGAATTTGGAGATAAAGCAAAGATCCGACTCTCTACTTCTCTTTCCGGCGGGCCAACTCTAATTCTGCAAAAATTTGTTGCCTGGAGATATGAAATAAACAAATAGTGACATGAATTTCGGTTTGCGCTTGGTACTGTGAATTAGAGGCTTGCCAAAAATAGATGCACAGGTGGTGATCTCTAAAGAGGAGAGGATAGGGTTTATTGTGATCAAAAGGAGAACCGATGCCTATGACGAGAAACTGCATGAAATATTTATAGACAAGTTTGTAATGGTAACTGTATTCATTCCTGAGTTAGTAAACAATAACTGGTCTGCAATTTTTAATTTGTTTTTCATTAGGGAGAGTACCGAAGCGGCATGAGATGATAACTGGTGTGCCGTTACAAACTGTTGGGTTTGGGATTCTAGCAGAGTAACTTTTATTTCTTTAACGGCTCATTTCTTTAACATACCTTTACACATTAATGAGGGAACTTTTGGCATTTTAAAATGATCCGATAAATCAATTAAAACAAGGGAAAATCGCAAAAAAAAAAAGGAGAAAAAA